TTTTGTAGAGCTTTTCACGATGCATCTTTTAACAAAAGAATCAATATTATACGATTTATCTCTGCTGAGATATTTGCGAAATACTAAATGTTGCAATCATTATGACTCACCCGGTATCTAATAACATTTTTTTCTTAGTTTAATTTTTTCACGAAAAGTAAAAATATATATAACCCCAAATGACCTTATTGGCTAAATTTTTTTTATTATGCGAAGAAGTTCTGACCTTCGTCAACTCTATTTATTCAATCTTTCTCCGGAAAGAGAAATTTTGAATTTTTCGATTCTTTAAAAAAAAAAAGAATAGTTGAGAAAGGGCATATCACATTTTTAAACATGATCCATCGCATGACACTTGAACGAATGAAAAATATTGACCATTGCACATACGGCGGTCAGTTTCATCGAGGCGTGACGGAGAGAAGGAGGAGAATGATCCGAAAAAATGAATAATTTTCTGAACAGTCAGCGTAGTCGACGCAATATATATATATATTCGATCAATACTTCTTTTTTTTTCTTTAGAAAAACATGTGCAAAAATATCGAACGTAATAATGAAGTATCTGTTGATGAAACAGAAACATCTACAACTAATAACGTAAGTTGTTTTTATATAATTATCCCATGTCAGCCCGTGCGCATTACCGTGCGTCTCGGACGTACGCGCACTTTTTTCGCACGAGCTGACATGGGATCTTTCCTCTATCAAATCCACTAATTTTCATTAATAATTTTTTTCAGATATCATCGAATGATGATCAATTGCTTTCCATCTTAAACCGAGAAGAGTTAATAGCTTATTTTCAACAAAAGGTGAAGGTCGAACAACTCCATCTGGAAGTAGCAATAGCTGAAAAGAATTTAGCAATTGGTCAAATGGTTTTACATAAAATGCAGAGTGAAGCTCTATACAAACATTTAAAAAAAAACTGATGCTACATCTTCATCAACATTAAAACAATGTTTTTTTTTCTTCTTTTTGTCATGTCAAATAGATACTTTGTGCTCTAAATTTCTTTTAAAGTCAGAAAGGCAATACAAACTGAAGTTAATTGATTATTTTGCTTCAAGTAAAGAAACGACTAAAATATCTGATAGTCGTAGACAGACAAAGATTAGTCAGGTGTGGATACAAAAATATGAGATTGAAAGAACATCTTATCAATAAGATAGTAGTGTTAATAGCTAATATGAAAAGATAAACAAAAGATATGTTTGCTTCCTAATGACGAATATCGAGAGTATGTTTCTACTTTTGTAAATAAAGATCCTAAGATAATTAGTAATTGAAAGATCTAAATGTTTGTTGAACATAACTCTTTCGTTTAAAGTTTATTTTAAGTAGATCCAATAAAGAAATTGTTTTTAACAGATTCTTGATCTTTGCGTGACGTCAACGACATTTTAGGAATAAAATCTTCTCATTTCCGTTCTCTTCAGTTTATTTTATTATCTATTGATATTTTTTATGACTTTTCTCATCCGTTTGTTGAAGAGCAAAATGAAAATGATTGTTAGACATCGATAAAACTTTGATGAACAATCTATTTACGCACGTGTCCTTTCTTCATTACTTTCAAACGTCTGCATAAATGAACAGAAGCATCCGACATAAAGCAACAAGATGAAAGTTCTATCAAAATAAAATTCCTTAGAACTATGAAAATTTTATGTTCTTGTTCGACTTGCCTACAAGCTGGATTATGCAAACAATTTTAAAATCTTTTAACAAAAACTCTCTGTCAATATTTTATCTTTAAATTAGCAAAGTCCGTTCTCGCTGTTAACATCGTCTATAAAACGTGCTTTTCTGGAGTAAAATGAAAGTTGAATATTATTTCGAATTTTTGTTAAAAAACTTCTTCAAAATGGTCGTACTTCGAAGAGAAAAGATTATATTCATCTCTATTTCCATCTTAAATATTATATTCGATGTATAAATCTTGTTTTCTTTTTATGCTTTCACTTGTACAACTAAGCAAAATCACATTCATAAATCAAAATACAAACACGTAGTATACATATAATAAAAAAAACAACACTGTCATTTCAATGAAACACTACTAACATCAACTAAATCTTTAACTAAAGATAATAATGATGTACAAGGTTGATACAATTCAAGTGGATGTTGTCGACTGACAAGTAACCATCGATTGTCAGGACTCATATAAAGAGAACGTATGAAATTATCTTGATCAGGAAAAAGTATAAGTCTTGTTATTTATCCATGTGATGAAATTAAACAATGACCAATATTTTCACAAAGTGTACATGTTTGCGCCAATCATTGTCCATTATTATGTAAATCAATTAGATATAAAATATTTTCATTTGAATTAAAATTAATTCGATGAATAAGTCGATCAGTATTTAAATGAACTAAATCAATTATTTGTTGTTTACCAATAGAAACAGCAAGAGCCAGAATTTTATTTGAATTCATCTTCATTTCTATCATGTTCATTTCCAATACCATTTTCATTTGAAAACATATCTTCATCATAATCAAGATAATTTGATGCATATTGCTGTTGATGAATTTTATAATGATTTTTCATTCGATAAGCTGATTAAATATATTGTTTACGTATTGAACAAATATGTCGTTTTAATTCTTTTCGTACACTTGAACAATAATAATCAAATGGTAATATATCATTTTGTGTATGTTGCATAACAACACTATGAAATTGTATACGTTGAATTAATGAACCATAAAAAACACCTTTTTGATAATCACATTCAGCCATTGCGATACCACGTGGTGTACGTTCAAATGCAACTGGTGCTGAAAGAAAACGATGAGGAAATACTTGAATATAATTTGAATGCCGTAGACCACAACATGATATTGAATTACAGCGAACTATTTGAATTGTATACTGAGTTTGAAGAACATGTGTGGCACACCAATATCTAAATAAAGAATAATTTTTATCATCATTCAGTTGCATATAATCGAGATTTAAAAGCTTCCTATACTGAAGACTTGGGCAAATGGGTAAGAGATTTTCTTTAACCCTTTACGGTCGGCTATTCGAAAAAAGCCGTACCCCTATAGGGGAAAATGTTGCCATATGGCAACATCCGGCCGTAAAGGATTAAAGAACTTACTCATCAATATCATATTTCGGTTCATCTCGTAATAATTCTCCATCAGTTGTAATATGTGGAGGACGAACTCTTTCTTGACAATATTCATCACTTTGTCCAACTTGATGTTCAATTGGTTCTTCAGCTTCTTCTTCGCATACACTAAAATAATCATTTATCTAAAACAAAATCATTTCTCATCGAAAACCAATCTTACCGATCTAAAATATCATTCATAATAAGATTAACCTCAATCAAACGTAATTTATCTAGAGTTGATGCAGGTGAATCAATATATTCAGCTACAGCAGGATATTCATCAATAACTGATCCACACCAAACTTCGGCTAAAACTTTTCCAGGTTTTTTTAAAATTTGTTCTTTCTAATTCAGGATTAATTGTTACACCCGAATCATTTAAATGTGTACTAAAATGATCATGAGGTAAAATAAGACCAGCTAAATCATCTGAAAGAGGTGCCGTTCGTCGTTCAACAATATTATAAGCTGATTGACCTGGCGCATGTGTAAGAACAAATAAAGTATCTAAATTATATTTTCGAAATTTTCTTATTGCAGCAACAAGTGTTTTAGGAAAACGTGAATTTTCATCAGGTCCACCATCAACTGTTATATATTTCCCGTGCTCAGCTAGCGGAATAAAAATATCTACTTTTGCATATGCCATGAAGTTTCAAGCAAAATCAATTTACAAAATTGATATAGACAAAACTATAGTCGTACAAAGCCAGAAATTTTAGAAGAAAAATAATTTACAGTGCCGCTTTCATTGTTCATGGATAGAAAAGAAATTGGATGTTGTAGATTGAAATTTAAAAAAAATGGGTTTTAACAATGAATGAATCAAAAAATTCTGAAGATCAATTAGCTTTACACTATCTTTTCTTTCTTCCGTTGTGTCCATTCTATCTATGTGTCTATCTATCTATGCTAAAATGGTATGATGATTCATCCGCACCAAAGTGGGTTGGTCTATTAAATAAGTCAATCAATCGTCGTTAACTGCTCGTATATAATAAGATTGTTTAACTGATACATTGTGGAAAAAGTGTAAATAATTTATAGTAGATAGCGTGAGCGTCCAGTGTCAGATTAACAATTAAACTGCAATGGATAGCATCCGCAGAAACATTGGCGGACCACCAGAGGGCAATTAGTGACAATTGCCACACCTAAAAAAATTATTAGCGGCATATATATAACCAAAACACACTGTAATATAAACCTTGGTGGGCCACCATACAGCAATTGGTGGCAATTGCCATACCTCAATTTGAGACGCTGGTCCGCCTATGTGCAGAAACACCTTTGTTATTGATCGATCTTTATTGACGACGTTCTTTTTTTTTGTTCAGTCATTCACATATATGACGAGCAAATTGATCGACATATATAAGTGTGGATATCATTCGTCAATGAGCCTATTGTGTGAATTATTCTTACAAATTAACATTAACTATTCAACCAAATCAATTACGATTATATTGGATATGTACAAGCATATTCACTTTCATTTCACAATAAAGATAAAGTATTCGGTCATGGATCAATAAAAGATTTTGTTGTCAGTGGCGGATTTAGAGGGGACGCACTGGGACGATCGCCCTATTCCGAAAAATTTTTAAAAATTTCTCCCAGTAGAAAAGGCCCAACAATGAGCAGATACTACCTCCAATGGACTTCAAAACACGTTTTTTGACTATGATCGCCCCCATTCCCCGTCGAAGTACCCCCCATCATAAAAATTCTAGATCCACCACTGTTTGTTGTGTTAGAAGAGAACTCGAAGACTGTATTTGAAGTTTGAACATCAATTGTCTTTGTCTGCTAAAGGAGATTATTGGGTGGGAACAATTTAGCAACTTAGATGGAAACGGTCACTTCATTCGAATCATGCATATTACGTAATTAAGAGTACACGAATGGCTATTAGCTATAAAATAGTTTTAAAGCTCGTATACTTTCGTTACTTCTTAAGTTGCTCTTTCCAAAGCAAAGAAACAATATAATACATGATAAAGTGGTGGACATAAATTTAAGACACTTTTGTCTTTGTTATAACTCAGTCGCATTTATAGCTAGAGACCTGATTCTTTCATAGTTAGAAAGACCATATAACCTGAAAAAATTGTCAAAATCAGGTATGTTTTGGATGAGTTAAGGCGAAAACAATTTTATCCCAGTGGACATAAATTTAAGACACTTTTAGGGTGTGGGTGTGGTTGTGGGTATGATTCTTCTCTTCAGCAACACTCACACCCACATCGCCACACCACCATTCACACCCACTCACACCCACACCCTCCATTGCTATCTCTGGTTTATCATTATCATCTAAATTTTGTTGTTTTCCATTAACTTTATATATTTCTTCAGCAGCTTGACGAATAACAGCAAGTGCATCATGGACCTTTTGACAAGCAATATTTCTTTTTCTAATATCTTTTATAGATGACTGATCAACAAGTGCTATATTTTTCTATATTATATATTTGAATATATCTTTAAAATATTTTATAATAAAATTGTTTTTTTTTTAATTATATTTTTCTATTGATTGATATTTATCAGAATGATTGTTCAATTCAAACTTACTTGTTATACTTGTCCATTATTTAGAGAATATTTTAGTAAATTTTTCTAAACATCGACATTGAAATATAATAGATTCGGTATTATTATATTACATTTAAAAAAATAAAGGCAAATATTTATAGTTATTCTTCATATGCATTGAAAACAATCTCTTTATGATATAAATATTCATCGAAACAATCTTTAAAAAAAGGATTAGTTAACAAATTTAAGGAAAAAAACGAAAAAAAAAAGACTTTGATCAATAAATCTAGTGAAATAA